ATAGCAATTGAAATGTAGAGAACAATATGGAAAGGCACAGGAGCTTGAAAATTTGGGGTGCACCTATGACCCAGAAGTGCTCCAGAGTGGCAGGTAAATAAGATATAAAGAGTGTTGTGTAGTGGGAGATGAGAGCATAAGGGAATTCTTAGTGGCTGCAACAAGACTATGAATGGCCCTGAATGCCTATTTGGAAAAAAAAAAAACAGCAAAATCCTGTAGAGGATTTTTAAGGAGAGGAGTGATAGGATAAGATCTGCATTTAGGAAGAACATTCTAACAGTTAGACATAAGATGGAGTCAGGAGAGAGTAGATGCAGGGAAGAGGTGCGATGTTTGGCCATTTGGCTGCATAGAAGAAAAATTACACTTTGGCTGTCAATGTTTCTTGTTGTAAAAAGCTGAGCATGGAGAGGGAAGCAACAGATTATGAAAGAGATCTTAAAAAGAAAGCTGAAAATCTGAAGAAAGAAAATGAGTAGTAGCAATGTTTAGAAATTCTTGGGGATACAATGTTGCCCTTGACTCTGTCAGTAAAGACTACCAACAATGGGTGTTGGAAAGAAAGTAAAAAATTTTAGTAAGTCTGGTCAGCAGACAGCTCTATACTGTCTAGGTCTTTTGAAGTCATGAACAATGGGATATCTGCTCTGGGTAGCACACAGGTGGGCAGTTTCTTTAATAAAGATCCCCTAAAGACATACATGCCGTGGTGGATAAGAACATTGGCTCTGAAGACAAACTTGTGATCACATACTGATTCTTGCTTCTTAGTAATTGTGTGACGTGGTAGGCAGGATACTTAAAATCTGTTTTTCTAACCTTAAAATGGAAATACTACTGCCTACTTTATGGCATTGCTGTGAGGGTTAATGAGTTCATATATATAAGGTATTTATAACATGACCTGGCACAGAGTAAGCTTTCAATAAATGTCTGTTCTTTTTTTTTTTTTTTTTTTGAGATGGAGTCTCACTCTTGTTGCCCAGCTGGAGTGCAATGGCATGGTCTCAGCTCACTGCAACTTCTGCCTCCTGAGTTCAAGCAATTCTCCTGCCACAGCCTCCCAAGTAGCTGGGATTACAGGCACCTGTCACCATGCCCAGCTAATTTTTGTATTTTTAGTAGAGACGGAGTTTTGCCACATTAGTTATGCTAGTCTTGAACTTCTGACCTCAAGTGATCCGCTTACCTCGGCCTCCCAAAGTGCTGGGATTATAGGCGTGAGCCATTGTGCCTGGCCAAATGTTAGCTATTCTTATTATTGTGTTTATATATGGCTGGGGAGACACACACTCAACTGTACTATGCTCAATAATGTCAATCAGTATAGTTTAGCGGCCCAAGGGGCAGTTGCATTATACTATCCTACATACATAGCATGCCTTAATTATTGTATTATTCATAATAAGCATATTAAGTCCTTTTTGAAAAAGGCAAATATGAATAAATTTTCAAATCCGTTAATATTCTTGGTGTGATACCCTTAAACAAGCTAGTGCAAGCTGGCTCCAGCACACCATGGACTGGTGTATACTAACCTTTATATTCCTGTCCATGAGACCTGCCCTTCACTCCTCTAAAACACACTGATAGGTGTACTAAAGGGGAAAATCCATCAGAAGACTCAACTTCAGCTCCCTCAACAACCAGAACCTAGAAATCTCCCTCTCAAATTTTTCTTGGCCTCTTATAAGACAGGGAAAAAGTAACAATTTTGTAGATGAAAGACTTTTCTTTCACCAATAAGAAAATGTCAATTTCTTTAAAAGTCCCAGTAAATTATTTTTCATTGATATTCAGGGTACCTATTCCTAGAAAAAGGAAGAGTGAGGGATGTTAGCCAGAGCTTCCAACCTCACAGGACATTTGCCACCTGAAACCAAGTTTAATATGGAACTTCCAATTACATGCCTAGTTTGCCCAGTTCTCCTTCCTCTAATCCTGATTTGTTCCCCAACGTTTCTACCTGTATTTTTTAAGTATCAAATTCATTTAAGTTTAAAGAATGATAAAAGTCTTCCTTTCTTTTTCACCAGAAGGAAATAATACAAAACAGCCAAGATATATTAAAATATAAAGATATCATCTTAGATAAGGATAAATTCCAATTACACAGTATCTAAGACAATATATTCATTACCATCCTAAGTCTCATAAACAGATCATAACAATCCTTGCTGGATCTCTGGCTCATTTTCTTATCAACATTCCTAAATGTTCATTGTCAAGTGCTGAAGAAGAGTTGTCTATGGCCTGAGCATCCAGTCACTACTCCAGTACATGGCACAGTCTCTAATAAATTCAGATCTAAAAATGCCCCCTTGAAGAATGTTTACCGAAGGGGTTTTAAGAAAAATTTTACCAGAGAGCTTGTATGAGCTATTCAAGTATTTGGGTTCATTTGCTGAATTGATGATGCGGCTTTAAATAGTATTCCTTTCCTCAGTGGGAAAGAAAGCATTTTTTCCCTTAAAACAAATGAATTTGAGAAATCATTTGGAAATTCAAAAAGATAAGAAGGCTGATCTACGAGAAAGAGACAGCAACAAAGAGACAGACAGAAAGAAAGAAAAGTGTGAACCTGAGTTAGCTGTATATTTTTTCTGCTGCTCTGGACAAAATACTCAAATTTCAAAAACATACAGCACTTCACATTCACAGCCAGTGTATCTTAAAATACACATACTTTCATGGAAACAATCTTGTAAGTTCATTGAGGAGAACAATAACCACCTTGTTTAGAAAAGAAATATTCCATGTTAACCTTTTCGATTAGACATTTTGCTTCCCCAAAATTTCACAAAGCTCTACATTCATTCATATTGATGCACACGTTAATCAAACCACTAGTGTTTCTTATATATCTGTAAAATTAATATTGAAATCACTCAGATATTTAAATAAATGCTGGATTAAAAAAACTGTTTTGAAAAAAATTTCTGGAGTCCTATTCAAGAATACATTTTTTAGTAAATTACCAAATTTATCCTTCTTCACAATTAGCATAAGTCACATTTACCTGGGACCCATCAACCGAGAGGCAGCCTGATATCAGGGAGGAAAAAGCACAGATTCTTGAGTCAGATAATGTAACCTGTAAGTTCAGGCTGCACTTAGATGTGAGTCCTCAGGCCAGTTACTCATCCTGAGTCTCAGTTTTCTTACCTATAAAATGGAGATCATAACATCACTGACCTCCATTACTGAGAATGAACTGAGAAAGTATATATTAAATCACTACATAAATGTTTTAAACCACATCCACTGTTGATTCAGTAATCAACAATGATACTGCAATTGTAAGTTCTTAATAGAGTAAAACCATTAAGGAATTAAACGTATTCACTATCAGCATAAAAAAAAATACAGTCATAAAACCCACCTAGTTAGATTTGAAATTATTCATTAGGTCACTGTGGAATTGAGAGCTGGCAAGGAGATAATGTTGTTTTTAAAATGTAAACATTTTTATTAGCATAGAGAAGTTCTTCCCAGATACAGTAATTCCACTAGCATAACCAAGTCCAGCATTTTTCACTGCCAGAAAAGTAAACCAGTAACACTGGTCCACAAGAAATCTCTATTTATTGAACAAAGCAATATTTTCCATGTAAATCTATTTAGTTTTGTAGTGGAGAAAATAGGACAGCCTCTGGTTTTAACCATAAGAAAAAAAAACCTCAACAACTTCTCACATTAAAATGTATGAGATGGCTCTTCTAGAGTCAAGCATGCATTGAGTATAGAGAAAACATCCAACAAGCATAACTTTCCAACACTTAGCAAAACAAACCAACCAATACTCAAAGAAGAAACTGAAGCCATAAATTCAAATAAATGGGCTGCAGGGAGACTACACAAACCTGCTGTTGCTTTAATTGCAGACAATTCAATTCAGCAGCTGTTGGTCCAGGCACTAAGGTTCACTGTATGCTCTTCAACGTAACCTTGAAATATTGTCACTCACTCACTTCTCCACATCATCTGCATGCTGTCCAATTAATGAGGAGTGAAATCAACTGTCAAACCACGCATCAAAATAGAACATGATCTTTTAGCTGTTAAGCGCAGGAGCACAATATTTTAAGAATAATAAAGCAACAATGGAGATGAAAGTCCTTGACGACAAATGATATTCAAACTTATCAAAACAACGTGGTTGTAGGAACTAAGCTTCTGTTCTGAGCAGCAAGAAAGTGAAACTTTCTCGGGGTTTTTCATTTGCAAGGGACCTTTCTGTCTAACTGCTGTATGTATAAGAAGCCTTTCAAAAAGCATTCGCCCATACCTGATCAGAGTCTTCTTCATTATTATGGACCATTATGTTTCTGAAAGCTTAAGAGAATACTTAAGAAACACTTTTGATTCAAGGATATTTTACAATACAGATGGTTTGGGGCTCATATTTTTAGCTTTGCTGTTTTGAGCACTTTTTTTTTCCAATGAGGAGAATAAACAACAATAACATATAATGTTCATCAACCTGAGATCACTAACGTAAAATAACTAAATTTACCAAACAGATGTGTCCTGGAATGCTTCCTATTTGAGGTTTCCCTACTCTTTAACTATATCCCAAATCTATAAAGCCAATTAACAAATACAGGGGTTAATAAACTCAAGAGAAACATAACACACTAAGTGTTTTAAAATTGCTTTTTGCTTCCAAAGCACTAAGTCTTGTGTGCAAACACTTTAAGCTATATCACATACTACCAGTTGCAGACATAAGACTTGAAAAATTCAATACAAGAATACAGCAGAGAAGCGTGCACAATTAAGGGATCGGGACTACCAGTTTAACAGAAAACGCAGATTTTATACAGCAATCTGCTACAAACATTATAGCTGGGGGCAGGCATGTTTTATGCAGCTATTTTGTTTAGCTCATTAGAACCTTATTTGTCCTTCAGTACAGTTGAACTGAAAGAAAAATAAAAGAAAGAAATGCACTTTGAAACAAAGAGGAAATTCAGATAAAACAACATATACTATACCTGTATATTGTACCAGGAACATTGTGACACTCTTCAGGGAACTGTTTCACGTTATATCCTATCGTGAGTTATTCTCTCCTTACCCTCTTCTCTCCACAAGAAGAAAAGCCAAAGCACCCCAAGCCCCCGCTACACCCTATCCCTAACCCACCCACCCCATTGAAGGAAAAGAAAAATAGCTATAATTCAGCTTAGATCCGACGCTTCTGTTTAGCTCAGCTCCAGCCGAGCAACTGAGCTTTAGCAACGGAGCATAGGGAGGAGGATTCTGATGCCAGTAGCACTTCCATCCACTTCACTTACACAAAAGCAGGCAGTGGAAAATCCAGGAGCCTTGAAGACAAGGGCTGGAACTGGCTTTTATGAATTGCTATTACTGCATGTGTCACCATCCATCTCCAATGACGGACACTTATAGGCTGAATTGGGAGTGGAGGGGGTGGGGTGGAGGAGGTTGGAGAGCAGGTGGAGAAGCAATTAGCAGTATGTTCATCGGAGAATTCGTTCAGGATTTCATACATCAGTGCCTAAAGAAACAGCACGCAGTTGACAAATCAGAACTTTACAATTTGCATGCCTTGGAAGAAATCTTAGCTCACAGCTCCAAACAAAATAATCCTTGCCCACTCTTATAGGACACAGAAAGTCACCCCTTTACTTTTTCTTTCCTCTGGCTACCCGTGTTCCTGAAAAATCAACATTCAGAATGAATATTTGCTAATTTTCCCTAAAGAACTGTATTTAAAAGCCTGGAAGCAAAGGAAGTACAGAGAAATTAAATTCTATTGAACATGACATCTCTTAACACAAAGGCAAGAAGCTAATTATTTTAAGCCAACTTTTCATCCATAGTCCCATTCCCCAAGTGCAGCTTTCACACCTATAATCAGTGGATCACACAACTTTTGTGCATATACTTAACATAAAAAACAAGTCTATGTCTACCCAAAAATAGTTTAGTTAAAATGAAGGCGAAAAGCCAAGAGCTATGTGCAGGACCCACTTCATAGGGGAGTTAAGAAAGCACTTTACATGTAAGTGCTTCAGTTTTACTTATCCACAAAATTAAAGCTCAGTTTTGGATGGATTTTAAAATTAATCATGAGTAGGAACAAAAAGGAGACAGTGTCTTTGGAAGGAAACATGATACAACCAAAGGAGGGAGCACTGGGGCTGTGTATCAGGAAACCTGGGTTCAGCTTCCAGTTTTTCAACTTCCTAACTATGTGACTCTGGACAAGTCACTTAACTTCTTTGAGGCTAAGTTCCCTTTATTTATTAATTGGGGATAATAGTACCTATCCTGACTGTTTCACAGGATTGCTGGGAGAGCTAATGAGATAATAGGTATGAAAACCCGTTTGTAAATTGTAAAAGGCTGTACAATTATATGGGATTATTATTACCATGCCCTAAATAAATCTTGCCTAAATGACTGAAGTGAGGCACCTCTATCACATAAGGTAAAAAAAAAAAAAAAAAAGAAACAACCAATATAATTTCATGAAACACTGTTCAATTCTTATATTAGAAGGAATTTTTAAATTAGAAGGAATTGCTGTTTGCTCTTAAAATTCCACAGCAGGGAACGTTTCTGAAAAAATTTTAAAATAATGCATCAAAAGTTTATTAAAGAGATTGAAGTCCACAAAGTTCTCTCTTTCCTTTCCAGAAAGTCAGTCCATTTTTCTTCATATGGTCTAGTATTATGTCCCATCTGGAATGCATACTACTAGACAATGAGCATCTGCTTTTGTTCAAGCTTTCTATGTGCCTGTTACATTCTCATTGCCCAGTGTGTTGCAGTAGGATTTGAGTTGATTAGCTAAATCTAAATCCAAAAGGTAAAAATTCAAAGTCACGCTTTATGAGGCTCCAAGCTGCCTTGATACTATATATACAGTGACCAGCTGGCTTCAGCTGGGACACAATTTTAGCACATGAAGTCCTGGGGTGGCCACACCTGGGGCACTAAATGATCCAGGCAATGTTTGGGGATCTTTCGTTCAGCCAAATCCCACATGTCCTGATTTCCATCTGTGTGGTGGTTACCCAAGTGTGTGTTTGTCCACATGGACCAAATCTGAAGCAGCCAAAAGAAAGGTGGGGAATAGAGCAGAAATATCAGATGTCACCTCCCCTTGGCCCCATCTAGTGCCATCTGTGCCCTCAAAAAAGTGCCCATCATACTTCTTGTAAGAAGAAAGAAAACTTTTTCTAACTGCCCCTTTGAACATCATTGCTACTACTGAAGATGCCAGTAAAATATACAGTCAAAATCTATGTTAAACCCATAGGGAAAACGGATAATATTAATCACAAAACAGGTAATTGGTAGCTAAGAGCAAGTGAGCTGCTGAAAGGGGGAGGGGAGAAAAAGAGAAGAGATGAGAAGGAGGAAAGGAGAAGGGAGGGGTGGAGAAAACAAAATGAATCTGAAGTGAGAGCTCTCTAATCAGAAACATACTTGCTGAGATCATCCAAAGTCTCACCTACTATAATAAAAAGTGTTTGTCTTTTGAGGTATTGGGAGTGGCCCCTTTACCACCAGAGCTGCAATCCTAGCCTTCCAATTGCTTAGGTAAACAGTCAAGAGCTTGAAAAGGTACCGACAGCCCTACCATCAGATCTCACTTTCCTCTGCCATTCGGAAACTCAGGGAGGTGGGATACAATTCTCCAGAGGTGTCATCCTTACAACCCTCCACCACAGCCTCACCAGCAGTATGGCTGGCCACTAAGGAAGGTGTCAGTCCAGTTTCAGGTTCAGCAAAGTAGGCTTGCCTGAGACTTTAAAAACCACATTGGTAAGAAAGGAACCGAGGCTGTATTTCAGAATTGGGTTGTTCTGCCTTTGGGCATTGCAACTAAACTCCTCCATGCATTTAGGCTTGAAATTCATATTCCTCAAATTCCTCAGAAGGGCCATTCAAAGTAAAGGGAAAAGGACAGGAAGGATGACTTTTTGTTAGCTTCTTTCTCACAGTCAAAAACATGAGGAACATGACTGAGTGTCCCAAAGTCAATGAGGTGGGAAGCAGCAGTTTCAACCCAGATTAGCAAGAAGGGCAATGAAAGCATCAGAGCATCCTGATAAAAACAAACACGCACACCAAAAACCATTGCACTGCTTCCATTATCCTGATTTCAAGTTCCAGAATGTAAGCACTAATGTTTCCCTAAACCACCCGAGCTCCTCCTTGGCAGCCGTCACCAAGCCTGACTGATCTTTTCAAATGAATTTCCATCACTGGCCACCCCACATTTGAATATTCTTGTAAAAAACAAAAGTCCCAGTGGAAGATTTCAAAGAACCAATAACTTGAACCAAACCATGAATCTAAATGGGGAGAGACAACACTAGTTGCTAAACTCCAAACAAAACAGAAATGTTAACAGTTTGAAAACAACAAAAACTAGCAAACTGATTTGAACCAGAACAAAGTTTCATGTTTTCTGAATTGACCAAACTTGGACCAAACCCTGAGATTCCAATCAGTTCAAACTCCTGCAAAGATCACACAGCAAGGCTTGGTTTCACCTGTCTGAAAGCTCACAGGGGAACCACAGAATGAACACTGGATAGGGAGTCAGAAGAACTGAGGTCTCCTGATTATCTTCAGTGCTTGATCCTGATTAAGTCACTTCGACTCTCTTAGCCTCAGCTTGCTTGCCATGAAATGGCCAGGCTGGGATTGCCAAAATCCCAGGTTTAATAGTCTATGCCAGTTGTGGAATTTAGTCTAGTGATGAAACAGATAGTCACAATTTAGCGTTAATCTGCAGGAGGCAGAGAGATGGACCACCCCAACTCTCTTAAGGAATTCATGTTTCTAGCTTATTTTGAAATATACATGGCTGGGCATGGTGGCTCACACCAATAATCCTAGCATTTTGGGAGGCCCAGGTGGGAGGATCAGTTAAGCTCAGGAGTTTGAGACCAGCCTGGGAAAGAGTAAGATCCCATCTCTTAAATAAATAAATTACATTTTTAAAGTTTTTTTAAAAAAATAAATACACTTCACCTAAGAGTTGGTAACTGTCCTGGTTCATCCTCAGAAATAACTTAATATTCTTTTCAGAATATCTCTTCTCAAAAAATGTTTCAGTAATAGTTTGTTTTCCTCAAGTGAAAGCTACAGATGAGTTGTTTGGTCCAATAAAAATAGGAGGGAAGAAATGACAGTGACCTAGGATAGGCTGAGCCCCTGTTACATGTCAGCCCTAGCAAAGTTTACATAATTTTCTTTACTAATCATCACAATACAATGCTATATGGTAGAATTTTTTGTTTGTTTGTTTGTTTAGGGACAGGGTCTTGCTGTGTCACCCAGGCTGGAGAGCAGTAACACAATCAACTCTGGCTGTAACCTTGAACTTCTGGGGTCAAGTAATCCTCCTACAGTAGACACTTTTATCCTCACTTTATAGGCAAGGAAACTAAGGCTTACTGATGTTAAGTAACTTGCTTACATACTTGATGGGTACTAGGATTTGAACTCAGGCAATTTGAATCCATTACTTTAACAATATTCTAAGAATTAAAGGAATAGTTTTAATTCAATGATTCAGTTGGGCTTGCTTAGTGAATAAATTACATGCTGATTCAATAGTGTGAAAGTAAACTTCCTTGCATTTATACTGGGTTGACATTATTTTTAATTTCATTTGACAGTTTGGTATAATGGTTAGGACTACTGGGCTCTAGAGTGAGGCAGACCTGAGTTTCTTGAATTTTGTCTTATGGACAAGATACTTAACCACCCTGCATCTCAAGTTTTCTTATCTGGAAAATGGGGAGGAAATAGTCCCTACCTTGGCAGGCTGTTGGAAAGTGTCAATGATCTCATAGCATCTCACATAGTTCTTGGCACAAAATGACAACTCAGTAAAGACAGATGAGAGCTATCCTTGTATTTATAAACAATAAAATAAAGGAGAGGTTATAAAGAAAAAGGAAACTGGGATTCATTGAGTTTAAGTGCTGTTTGGCTATAGCACACATATAGTTTGAAAGGTTTTCAGTGGCCCACCTACATTCTCCAAAACTAACCTGCATCTTATGGTAAATCAGCATATTCATGAAGCAACATGAATATATTAATTGGGTTTTCCTAGAGAGTAGCTTAGCAGCAGTTGGCCTTAGCTTCCTGGAACCCATCCTTTAAAAGATAAGCCTCAGAAGTAGCAGATAGTACTGCTGGAAGTACCAGACAAGCAGAGGCATCCTGCTTCCCCCCAATTCTTCAAGCCCTGACTTCTTTCCCATTTACCTGTGGCTCTCTTCTCAAACCTTCTTTATTCCTTCCCCAGTTTATTCTGGTTTTGTTGTGGTTCCTCCTCTGGCACTAGCTCTGTCTCTGCTCATCAGTATCAAGTGGTGTCTATGGAATGTGTGCCTGGTACAACACTAGGTGAAATAGAAAGGCATCTAAGAGTTAATGAAAAACACATGTGATCCATGGCCAAATGGATCTAAGATACACAGGTAGACTAGAATTTTGGCAACACAGTAAAAGCAGGTATAATGCAGGATGATTTGGTTGATTTCAGAGCACAAAATAGTTTGTTCATCTAGTCAATAATATGCATATGGAAAAATTTTTAAATACTGTACTAATGTCTGCAACTTAATCTGAAATGCATAAAAGAATGGATAGATGAATAGGTGACAAAGCGAAATAACTAAATGTTCATTATAGAATCTAAATGGTGAGTATCTGGGTGTTCACTGTACAATTCTTTTAATTTTTCTCTATATTTGAGTATTTTCATAATAAAAGGTTGAGAAAAAGGAGAGGGGGAAAGGGGTATGGCTTATCAACCATAAGTGTTTCAGAACAAAATAATTATAATTCTATAGAAAAGTATAAAGCAAACAGCACAAAATAATAATAATTGGTGGATCTGAGCGAATGGTATATAAAAATTCTTGTATGATGCTTGCAATTTGGGAGGCTAAGGCGGGTGGATCACAAGGTCAAGAGATCTAGACCATCCTGGTCAACATGGTGAAACCCCGTCTCTACCAAAAATACAAAAAATTAGCTGGGCATGGTGGCGCGTGCCTGTAATCCCAGCTACTCGGGAGGCTGAGGCAGGAGAATTGCCTGAACCCAGGAGGTGGAGGTTGCTGTGACCCGAGATCGCGCCATTGTACTCCACCCTGGGTAACAAGAGTGAAACTCCGACTCAAAAAAAAAAAAAAAAGTACTTCAAGCTAAAAACTTATAAGGGAACCACAGAATGAACACTGGATAGGGAGTCAGAAGAACTGAGGTCTCCTGATTTTCTTCAGTGTTTGATCTTGATCAAGTCACTTCTACTCTCTTAGCCTCAGCT